ACATACAAATCTAGTCTATGGCGCGAGAAATTAGCCAGAGTTAGGTGGTGCATATGAGCAGCTGCTAAGTGCTACCAGGCTCTCCTGAGCCTCGCGCATGCACTAAGCGGCAAGCGCAGACGCGGTGGCTGGTGGTAGTAGACGCCCCTGCTACGCAGCAAGACGCTGTTTCCTGATCCCGCGGTCCCGCCGCATTTGTCTGTGAACGATACATAGTACATGTGTTCAAAGTTTACGCGCGTTTCACGGACGTCTCTCTCCTTCTCGTTTCATATCCCCTTGAAGTGTGCCTGAAGCAGCTTTGGACTCGCTTTGATGGCAACTTAGCACTGGACTGACGCGGTTTCGGGGTCTTGAGGCGACGAAGAATCATGCTGAATCCCCGGCCTTCCTGCCCAGGCGGCTCGCACGCCAATGTGACAATGTCCACAAAGTATTGGGTGCAGACGTGGAGTTTTCGGTACAGCACTGTTCGCCGTCGAAGGTGTTCAGAGTCCACGCGCATTTCATCCAGCGACACAAACAGTATCGAATAAGTATCGTCCTTCTGACTACACGCAGAATATACAAACCAATCATACAAGGAGTGATCATAAATACTAGTCCTTCTGTTAGCACCACACGGGATATACAAACAAATGATACGCCATCTCCTTTCTACTTCCCGAGGCCCACAAAATCATCCTTTATACCGCATTGAGGTCGAGGACCGAGACGGTCGAGGACGTGAGCGTGGAGGAAGTAAGAACAACGTTGTTCTGTATCATGTCGAGAACGGTCGCGCCAGAGAGGTCGAGAGGACCTGAGGAGGTCTGGGCGGACGCATCAACGAAGTCGACCGTGCCAAAGGCTGCCAAAGGGGCTAAATTCCCCCCAAATACGAGATCCGTTACGAGCCAGGATACAGTCCCCGAGCACACGGTGTCGGTAGGGATGTCCAGGGAGACGATCCCGCCCGTGTTCTGGTTGAGAATGTGCACCGTGCCCGTCGTTGAGTCCGTCGCGTTGATGCTCATCGTGATGTCATCGCCTGCCGAGACGATGAAGTTCGGGATGTCGATGATCTGGCCATCGGATTCAATTCCAACGGCTGCGAGAATATAGATAGTTTGTCAGCATGCGAGGAGGAGCGCAAGGAGCGCGGACTGACCAGCAAAGGTCGATGAACCACTATTAGTGGAGGCTATAATACCACCCATGAAGCTATTCGAGCACTGAAACATATCCATGCCGAGTCCAACAAATACGGAGGCGGTAGCAGCGAAGTCCCCGCCCGCAGGCGTTTTAACCCCCGGAACCGAAAACGACGCGGAGGCACTCGTGATTGTGCCCTATGCGGAGGCTAGCCCGTCAGCACATGCATCACGCGGAGATATAAGGGGCTCACCGTAGTCGTAGTCAAGAAGGCGCCAGCAAAGGTTTCGGTGAGCTCGTTGTTCGACTGACGCGCGGCGACGCGAACCTCGCGACGGTTCATGGGAGACGGCAGCGAGACAGCAACCGTGGCAGCGAGAGCCAATACAAAAGAGATGGTTGAGTACATAGCGGCGTGAAGAATGTAGAGTAGAAAGAATAGAAGGAATTAAAAGGCCGTCGAGCTAAGAGAAGTGAGAAATCTGTGTTTTGGCTATGGCGGTCGGGTGAGCTTATATATGCATAGAGTTTCGTGAAACGGGGCGAGCCTGGGGTTTCATCATACTTACGGCCGTTACGAAATGTCGCAGATCAAGCGCTTCAAGGTTTTGCTTGACGCAAAATGTCCAAACGTCTTGATGTCGCTTGTGCGTCTTGGGATCGGACCGACATGCCTCGGGTGCCTTGATGATGTTGGGTAACACCTCCAAGACAGGTCTCAACAACACCTAAGACAGACTAAGGCGTGTCATCTAATCTAAGACGCCTCCAACACCCAGAGATTTTCCTGATGACTTCAAACTGACTTTGATGGTGACTCGGAAGTTGAAAGACAGCCTGAAGAGGTTTGGGCGATGGCAGCGAGACAGCAGTCGTGGCAGTGAGAGCCAATACAAAGGGAATGATGAATTATATGACGATGTAAGCAATGTAGAGTTGAAGAAGCTGTGAGATCGTCGAGCCAAGAGAGAAGAGGAATCTGTGATTTGGCTATGGCGGTCGGGCGAGCTTATGTACATCGCAAGCATCTGTGCGCGGCGCGCCATGATGATCCTGGGGTGCTTCATTATGCACAGAGCTTCGCGAAGCGGGGCCAGATCTTGTCACGGTTACGGCCGTTACAATTCGAAATGTCACTTTTACACTACGGGCATGAACTGAATTCAGATCATCTGAAATGTCCCGGTCAAGCCATCAGAACTATTTCATTGTTGAGGATTTAATCGTAGCTTTCTGGCGCCCCCAAAAATGAAACAGTTCTTTGACCGGGACATTTCAGGTGGTCAGAAACCAGCTCATGCCCCAGTGTTATGGAAAAAAAATCAAGGGCACAGGAATTACCTAACTCACAATAGGGGTGTTCAAAGTTCGCGCGCAAAACCGATTCACGGCCGCTTCAAGAGTCGTTTCGAACGAAGTGAAACGCGACTGAAGCGCGTGTGGACTTTGAACACCCCTATTGTGAGTTAGGTAATTCCTGTGCCCTTGATTTTTTTTTTCCATAACACTGCTTTGATGGCGATTCAGAGGATGAAACGGAAACCCGAAGCGGTGCGATTTCGGGGTCCTGAAGCGACGATTCGGGCTGAATCGTGCTGAATCGCATCGAATCGAGGTCGTCCGTCGAAGCGGCTCCCGAGCCGTTTCGCACGCCGCTTTTCGCTCGATTCACGCTTGCTTTCCAGACCAACCCGCTTCGTCCCGTCCTTGACTCCCTCCTCCCCCTCCTCCCATGCTATTGCATCAATTTTGTAATAGCCTCATGCACATGGAGTAGTGACAGTGGGATCAATTTATATTGAAATTTTGCTACTTGTTTTCTGCATGTTACGATGAGAAGTGTGTCCCCATACAAGCATTTCTCGGCCGCTCCGTGGTGCATACCAACGGGTAATTTTTTGGAGGCATCTTCGCTCCCTGAGAGCATGCAGGAGCCCCGCCAGGTATAATAGAGTGTATATAGATCATTAGGAATGAAGCGGATGTGTCCCTCACGCCGCCAGCAACTCGATTTAACTCCCTCGTGGTCGGGGGTGTTCAAAGTCTACGGGCGCTTCAGTCGCGTTTCACTTCGTTCGAAACGACTCTCGAAGCGGCTGTGAATCGATTTTGCGCGCGAACTTTGAACGCGCTTTGGACTCGCTTTGATGGCGATTCAGAGGATGAAACGGAAACTCGAAGCGGCGCGGTTTCGGGGTCCTGAAGCCACGATTCGGGCTGAATCGTGCTGAGACGCGTCGAATCGAAGTCGTCCGTCGAAGCGGCTCGAGCCGCTTCGCACGCTGCCCTTCGCTCGATTCAAGCTCGCTTTCCGGACCAACCTGCTTCGCCCCGTCCTTGACACCCTCCTCTTCCCCCTCTCCTGTGCCATTTGCATCAATTTTGTAATAGCCCCATGCACATAGAGTAGTGACAGTGGGATCAATTTATATTCATATTTTGCTACTTATTTTATGCGTGTTACGATGAAAAGCGTGTCCCCATACAAGCATTTCTCGGCCACCTCATGGTGCATACCAATGGGTAGTTTTTTGGAGGCATCTTCGCTCCCTGAGAGCATGCAGGAGCCCCGCTACAGGTATAATGGAGTGTATATAGACCATTAGGAATGAGGCGGATGTGTCCCTCGCGCCGCCAGCACTTCGATTTTTACTCCTTCGTGATCAATGTATATGGAAACTTGGCGCGTCCCGAAGCTCGAAATACGACGTAGCTGGAAAGTGGAAGGACAGTCGCCACGGATCGCACATTGCCGGAACGGTGAATTCTCCAGTTCTAGGAGCCCTTACTACTACGTCAGTTGGTTGAATAGCATCTAAACGCCATGCAGAAACGATGCAAGATTAATTTCGAGCACGTGAACCTGCAGAATATTCCCCATAAGACCATGATATGAACATACCGTAAATTAAGTTGGATATTACTGCGATAATAGCCCTTAGTATCGTAAGACAAAACATAAAATCACGAGACGAAGCACGGTCCGCGTTGACAAAGCCTGCCACTATCGCATACGACCAGTGTGGCTACTGTCTGGTCGTACGCGGCATGACAACATTATTGCACAGCTGTACGGTGACGTCAGCTTCGCACAAAACGCACAAACAGTCCCAGACGTACGCCGGTGGAAGCGAGCACTCAATTTCGCTCGTCGACTAGCCTGTTGGTTGTCTGTGCGGACAGTTCTGCTCGCGCATAAACACTAAGCCTCGCTCATCGCGATGAGCTCCTAGGCGTTCTCCTTGCGAGATGCGGGCTTTCAAGTCTCCGAACCGTTGCCGCTCGTTGTTCAACATAACGCAGGGGCCTCTATTTTTCCTGCCTACGCCGCTTGTACGCGCCTGTTCGACCTCCTCGACGGCCTGCCTGATCGTCCGTAGGCACCGTCGCCAATACATTTTTTCGTCCTGCGGCTGCGCTTGCAAAGCCGAGGAACTTGGAATGTAGCCGGTTGCACGAAGACGGCGCGCCAGGTGTACGGGTCCAAGGCGATGTCCGAAGAAGTCGCTCCGCCGGAAGTGCAGCGCGAGCAGATCGTCCAGGGAGCACGTACGGCTCGACGCACGTCGGGAGCGGTGGGGGAGGCTGTACGCGGTGCAGTCAGCGGCACAAGAGCCAAGGAGCCGGTCGAACACGAGGGCAGTGTGCGCGAGCCATCCCCAGTCGTAGCACCGCCCAGCATTTGTGGGAAGCGGCGGCCAAACGGGAAGGTTTCGCGAGGCATGCCAATAATCCTAACGGCATGTCAGCGGCTGTGCGACGCAGGTATGCACGAAAGCACTCACAAGGTGTGGGCAGATGCTCCAGGAACTATGTTCAGGCTCGAGGAATAGGCCATTGGGTGCTCTTGATACAGTTGGGTTCTGCAGCTGCCGCGCCAGTCGTGCGCATCAAAACGTCCGCCTAGCAGCGCACCGGCAGGCTCGCCTGCATAGTCTTTGTCTTCGTTCCCGACGACCGAGACGCGCTCGTGATCCGGCTGATGTACGCAATCCTGCAGTCCGTCGGTAAGTAGATGGAAGTGCACAGGCAGACGTAGATAAGACGCACCAAAGCAGAATGTTCATCCCGGTAAGACTTGAACCAGCTCTGCCCGGCAGCACACCCATGACATTCGTCGGGCGCTCTAGGTTCCGTTCCTCGAGCCCTCGATATCTTCGCACGAGACGCGTGGCTTCTAATTGGCCTCTCCACTCAGCTGTCGCGCGTGATGGCGACCCATCAGTTCAAAGTGTCCCTCGCGTGGCTGAGCAAGGTCTGCGAGGACATTAGAACGAACGCAGCAAAATCCGCGGGGAGATTAGAATGAGTGCAGCGTACAACTACTCGTCGTGAGTAGCGCCAACGTCATATAAACCCTAACCCCCGAACTCTCTCTAAGCGCCCGCAGTGCCTCTTCGCCTGCATCTGCCACGAGTACTCTACAACAATTCGCCGAACCCAGACTTTCACCAGCATCCAACTCCTTGTCTAAATCTTCCTCAAGGCCCTTCCCTTTACTCGAATCATGGGCCCCGACGATGCGACTGACCCTCGCGCTCTTCGAGTCACTGTCTATCCGGCTGTGAGCATAATGTGCGTATCTTAAACTCGTCATAGTCCGCTTCGGGGCACGAGCCGGGAGGACAGGTCGTTGGCTGGAAGTACATCGTGAGACTGGGACACGGGTGCGCACGCATACTCACTCGCTGCGGGAAGTGAATCCATTTTTCTAAAATGGTAATCCCACTGATCCACTAGTAATCAGTGGGATACCCATTGCAATATGATCCACTACAATCAACACAGATGACAGCTGATGAATATTTGACAATAAATTCGTGGTAGGCCATATGTCCAGGCAATATGGGGGCACAAGTACTGTTGAAGGACTTTTCATCGGATAATCTGAGAACATGCTGGCAGTCGCTAGTCTGAATCTCGAGGCGATTACCAGCCGGTTAGGTAGTGACATTCACAAGCTTATAGCGGCGGATCAAGCGTAGATATAACGCGGCCTATCTTGCCAAGAACTGCTCCCATGTTCTCTCTTCTCGTTCTACGGGCTGCACAGGCCGCGCACAACGTCCCTGGAGACTTTGTCGATAATAGTACCAGACAGCAAAGTTTTGACTTGTTTTTTTTTGGCCTCTGACCCGCATACTAGATGTCCACAAGGATGCGCTGCTATTCGACTATCTTCTTGATGGAGGGACAGGTATGAGATTGTGACGGTTAGCCTAAGAGACATTGACTCGGCATAGACAGGCAGGCCATCATCTCTTTATGCGTCCAGTGCGCACATCTAAAATGAGCCATGGCAAGACCTAAGGTGCTCACGAGATGAATTCCGATACATCTGCAAAACCGGAGTTCTTTATTTTTATTTTCAAAGAAGGACAGATAGACCTCGCCACGGCCATTCCTGAAGCGTATATACAGCGCGTAAGGCAGCACAATGGAACGAAGCAACACACCACTCTTCTGCATCTCAAACAGCATGTAGTTGAAGGGGTACCCACGATGCCGACGAGATTCTCCATCGCCGCATACGTACTATGGACAAAAGGAATCGAGCACTCGGCATGTTGTGTCCGCCAGAAGCTCGAGCACGGGCTGCTGCTGCTTGCTCGCCTGGAGCTATCCACAGACTCGGAAAAGGATCTATGCGTTAGATGTGTCTGAAAACAAGTTGCATGCTTAAGCAACCTTTAATCCATGTTGGTGTTGGGATACCAGACCAATCCAGCGCTTTCAGGGCCCTTCGTGCGTCCGGCTATGCCCCGAAAATGGGTCGCTTCCAGGGCTGTGGAGGGTCGCTCAGGGCAATCCCAGGGCAAAATCAACGGAAGGGAAGGGAAAGAAGAAGGGGAACCGCGCCGACAAGCAATTATGGCCTCGGAGCTTCTCGTTCACTGTGCTCGCGAGCCTGGTAGCCTGAGTGTCATATAAACCAAATTCAGACATAAATAAGTACTCCCGCTATATACCACATGCCCCGGCGAGGCCGAAGCTCGATTGATGCACAATAAGAGCCCAAATCGTGGCCTACAGCGCACGGGTACGGCGTGCTTTCCCAATATGGCAAGCGAGCGCTTCAGCGCCGACTTTGCGGCGGGGGGCGGCGCTCTCAAAATATTTGGGCTCTACCAGGCTCGCGAGAAGCTCCGAGGTCATAATTGCTTGTCGGCGCGGTTTTTCTTCTTCTTTTCCTTCCCTTCCCTTGAGTTTTGCCCTGGGGTTGCCCTGGGCGACCCTCCGCAGCCGGGCCCGGGGCCGCAAGGCCCCCGGCTGATCGCCCTGGAAATGACCCATTCCTCCCCTGGGAGTGACACAGTACTCATGTCAAGATAAACCAGATGCACGCGACCGTAGCTAGATATCGCGGCGGTGGCCATCAGAGGGGTCCGTCCGGCCCTATCTCAGGCGTACGAATCAAGCTCAGATGCATGTCGGCGAGTGCATGAATGGTCCGCCCTGTACGTTATGTCGTCTCTTTGGCGCAGTCGCTGATTTCGTATTTGGCTGCTGAGTTACGAGAGTCTGGCTCGCTCTCGATGCCCGCACTAATCTGTCCAGAAGAGGCATTCCTTAAGCTGGATTTGGAACGACGGGAAGCTCTCTACATTGACAATTACTGATTCTTCGTAGAACCCTGTTGCATGCGGCACACGACTGTTTATTTTGGAACGCAGAACGCTCGCCGCTAAACAATATATAATGCCTGCGAGTATATGCATGGTTGCAACAGGCACCTTCATTGATACTCCATCTTCCCAGTCGAGTGAAAGTTTGTTCACTCGAGTATTTGCCCCCACAGTCGTTCAGCATCTCGGTTTGTGTCACTTGCGCTCCTGCGTCCATGATTCGACTTACTAGTGGTCTCATTGGCTCGCTCTTACAGAAGGCATATTATGTCTCTAAAAGGCCTCCTACCGCCGACTAAAGCATTCGAAGCGAATTCTCTGGTAAACGATATATACTCTCATATCTTACGACAGTATCTAACGGGTGATTTTCACAAGCCGGATCTTTGTCGCAAAACAATCACAGAGTTCTTGTACAGGACAGGCATCCCATTGCCCAAGTTTGACTCGTCGGCTTTCGGCGAGGAGGTCGACAAGCTCGCACGCGCCGAAGCCCGGACGTGGAATCTCAGCGGCGTGTCCCCCGACCGCCTCGAACATTGCCTCATCACCGGAATTGATGTTGCGAAGACGGCGTACAAACACACTCCTGTCGAGACACAGATCCATATTGCCCTGTGGACTGCGCTATGCGTCTGCATCGACGATTTTGACGCTAGCGTAGACAATTTCGACGCCCTCGCTGAGTTTGCCGAACGATTCCATGTCGGCCGCGAGCAACTTCATCCGCTGCTTGACTTGCTCGCGAATTACATCCGTCGGATGCATGAATTCTTCCACCCTTATGGCGCCACTATCATCATCACCGGTACGGTGCAATTTGTCGCCTGTTCATTGGTCGACAGGGAGACGAAGGCCATGAGTCTACATCCTTCAGCCTGTGGGTATCCACTGTACAAGCGCGCTCGCAACGGGATCGGTGAGGGATACTCCTACTGCATCTGGGACAAGACACACTTCCCCGACGTGTCTAGTTATATTCAGGCGATACCGTACGTATATTTACCTCTTGAGAGGTAACGTGCTAAACTCTACTCATCTAGTGAGGCGACTGCAATTTCCCTCCTTGTCAAGTGATGTTCAATTCTCTGTCTGCTGGAACAATATCTTCTGACGTCAATTCTTCAGTGATCTGTGCTCTTTCTACAAGGAAGAGCTTGTCGGCGAGAAGAATAACTTCGTTCACGATCGTGCTTGTGTCACTAGCAAGGACCTCGAGGCGACCTTGATGGATACACTCGAAGACGCAGTAGATGCTGTCAATAGAGGCAGAGAAATCTTACAAGGCGAGAAGGAGAGGCAAGCATGGGAGAGCCACGTGATGGGATATGTGGCATTTCACTTCATTTCTCCTCGCTACAAGCTGAAGGAACTGTTCAGCACGTCTGGCTAGACTCGCATACTTCCTTCTGCCCTTCCGCTGCGCGAACAGGGCACGTCAATTAGAGTGTTCCGTGTTGGACGCTCGCGATCATCTGGTCCGAGTCTCGAATACACCGATGATAGTGCGGTAGATTATCCCGAGTTCGCTGGTAAATAGTACGATAAAATATCTATGTACCCCTGCAGAACAATCACGACCGTGCTCACGTATTTCTGTGGCTGTGCATCACCCGCCAAATCTCAAGAATGATGGCAATAGCACACGCGTTAACAGTGCTCACAGAGGGCACGGACAGGCCTGTCCTGCGTAGAAACCCGGACACGGCATAACGGGACAGCAAAGGTAGAGCGAGGATCGGTACATGAGACTGTCTAGGACCTGGGACGTCGTACCACAGAATTATCGTTGCTATCGGGAGGATACATGGAAGATTCCTGCGGGGAAGATCAGATGCAACGCCGTAGACGACAGAGAACAAAACTCGGAATGAGTCTCCGTCCGCATATATCTTAGCCGACTGCTGTCTCGTAGCGATCAGCCTTGACATGAGTCGCCTCGTGCGTGGGCACGACTCAAGTTGTAGTGACGTCGAGAACGACGGTCTGTACTAGGTAACAGACGCAGTGTAAGAGGGCCAGAATAGACTCGTCGCGAGTAGCAGCAATGGCACAGAAACCCTAACCCTCGGACACTGTCCGAGCGCCGGCTGTGTCCCGCCATGGATACTTCGCTGAACACAGACTTTTGCCAACACGACATGGCTCTTTGTCCAAGCCCCCCTGACGGCTTTTTCCTTTACTCGAGCCATTAATGCTACGACGACCCTCGCGCTCTCCGAATCCAAGGACTGCCGTTCATCCAGCTGTGAACGTAATGTGTGTATTTTGCACCGCTCAATAGGCCCCTTCTGTTCATCCTTTGGCTTTAGAGTCTGTCGCCGCATAGAAGTAGTCGGACAAACCCGTCATAGTTCACTTCAGAGCACGAGTCGGGAGGCAGGTCGCTGGCTGGAAGTACACCATGAGACTGGGACACGGGTGCGCACGCATACTCACTCTTTGTCGAATATTGTCTGAGAGCCCGCGATGGATATCCAGATGCGAGGTTTTACTGCAAGTTACAACGTTCCGCAACCTGGTGCTCGAGGCAGCGACACGAGTAATGCGCCGCGAGTATCGTCCGCAGCTGGAGTGGGGGTGTTGCAGAGAGGCGCATCAGAAGCTGGTGAGTTCATTTGACTCTCGAGGATACTTCGCATCTCATACGGGTATTATGACAGGTCCAACCGCACGAACATCCGCTGTGAAAATCAAGCGAAGAAGAAATCCCTGCGTTTCGACCGCTTTTTCATGCCGACGACTGGATCCCTGCGCTACTCCTGTCGGAGCTTCTGCGAAGTACGTACCAGCATGCATCCCGATCCGAAGGCTGCGATAGCACCAGCCGGATTGGGGGCTGGGCCTGCCGGCGCATCGTCTCATCTATCGTATACATCGAAGCTTAAGCCAATAGCCAGCACGCCAGGTCAAACGGGCTCGCAACGCACCGCGCCTACTTCCTCCAAAACGGAGTGATAGAAGGCCACGCAGGTCCTTCGTTCTATAGGCTCGCAGCCAAGAAGGACATGACGAGTAGGCGATCGCGATCTACAAGACAAATGCATTCATCGCTGCCAGTATCAACGTCCACCTTCCCTAGGCGTCCTCCATCGTAGACTCGGGCGGCATGACATACAAGCGGGGCCACAAGTTCATGCGGGGCTGTGATGCCTACTACGAGACTGTCTTCTCTGCGATGAGTACCATGCCCGAGCCAGCAGGCGCGACAGCGGTGGCGACATCAGCTTTCACTCCTCGGCTCAAAGCCCATACCTCCCCTACCGCTCGAAGCTAGCATCCGAACATCTTCGCCCTTCTTAACCGTACTTCATATCAAGCAGGTCGAGGGATGACAGCACTCTAAGGCTGATCCTCGTTTACCTCCACCTGGACGCCTTTCGCCCTTCTTTTCTCCCCCTGCGATCAGACATTTCCGCCGGCTGGCACGAGTGCCCCAACTCCACATCCCAGCCACAGCGCCACAGTGCCGCCTTGCACACTCGACGACCCCGAGGAAGGCGAGAAGAACGCCGAGGCGCCTGCCCAGCGCGGCGCGAGCACAATGGGCACAGCAAGCGCGCCAGAGGGCTTCGCGATGCCCGCGCAGTCCGCTGCGAATGCCAATTCCTGCTACGGCTGGCGCAGCTCGGAGAAGACACCACATGGCAGCGGGATCAGTTCTCGCTTCCCGCGGTCGTGCGTCGCACTACACCGGTGACGACGAAGTTGAACGCCATCGGCGAGGGCGAGACTAAGCGCCAATCGCTCTCGCTCGGGAGCCGCAAGACGAACGGCATAGAGTCCGCGCGGAGTATCGCTTCACGACTGCTAGTATCACTTTGGCCTCAGCTTTAGTAGTCGTCCGCCAGTAGGCTTTGCTGTCTGGCCGTGGGTAGAGCAGCTGAAGACGTAGCGCAAGTGCGCAACAAGGAAATCGCCGCTTTTACTTTCCATTCAACTGCGTCTCTAGAAGACTGGGCGTTCTGAGTGTCGCATTTAAAGAGCTACGACAGGCGCAGGAAGGCGCATGGCGCGTTGAAGCCCGGGAACGAGAATATCTGGTATGTTACTGTATGCGAGGTCAATGCATCGCCGCGTCGTCAAGCAGCATCATGGAGCGGTGCGTCACAAGAATCGTCTGCAGCTGGGGTCGGTGTATTGGAGAGGCGTGCTGGAAAGCTAGTGCGTATGCTTGACTTTTGAGACCGCTCCACGTCTGACGCAGGCACCAGGACAGGTCCAGGCGCAGGGACATCCGTCGCAAGAATCGAACCATGAAGGGCACCCTGCGCTTGCGTCGCATGATCATGCCGACGACCAGATCCCTGTTCTGCTTCCACCCGAATCTCTCGGAAGCGCGCACTAATCTGCGTCCGGTCCCGAAGACTGCACCAGCCGGCTCACGGTCAGGTCAAATCAGGCCAGCGCATGTATCTACCACCTTCGTATTCATCATCTTCGTCGAGACCAACGCACAGCACGCCAAGTCACAAGGGCCTGCAAAGCACTTCGCCCGCTTCCGAACCAACCGACGATTTCGACGATTAGGCTTTGAATCGAGCATTTGATCGTGTCAAAGTGCCGTCGAGCGACGAGAGCCTGCTGCAGCGGTGTTATGTCCGTCCTTGTTGCCAGAATCTCGTTCACAGCCAACTTGTCGGCGGTACGAAATCTTTGTTTCTCGTTTACCCTGTCTGTAGCTCGCAGATTTCGCAATGCCAAGTTTTTTGTCGTTCTATGTTGTTGCGACGTTGCGCGCTGTGCTACCAAGTGAGCTCCAACGGACGCAGCTGAGCTATCATCGTATTCAGCGTCGAATACATGCAGGCGGGCTTTTCTGAGATGCTGGACCGTGCTCTCGTTGATGATATTCGCCGCCGTGGTTTTGCACGGTGCGGATGGTGTGGTGCGAGTTGTTAGCGAAGGCAACCGCACAGACGAGGTCCAGTCTCTGCTGGTGCCTATACGTGCCATGAGATGCTGACTCGATGCATATACCAGTCTAATCGTATTCGCTATCGTTGCGCCTCATCCCTTAGATGGATACCTGCCGGAGCTGCGCAGTGAGAATGGGTCGGAGGGCGGTGTATCGCCGTTGTGACTGAGCGGGATGATTTTGTGTAGAGATAGGATTAAATGCTTGCTCTACCGCCTGTTCAACAGTGTTTGACCTTTGTGCGATCTGTGTAGAATCCGCGAGCCGAACCAGCTCTCCGCTCCCAGTAGCTATCTGCCTATGCCATCCCAAAGTGTACCCTCGGCATCCTACGTCTTAGCACTCCCGAGTCGTTCAAAGTGGTAGCCATAGACATTGCCCTCCTTTGCACCTTTAACATACATTTGTAGACTCGTTTTCAATCTTTGTAGCATTCGTAGATACACGCTCAAGTGAGTTCTTGTCCGGGCTTAGCTCATATCTTCACCTCAAACGCTCAGTGCAACGGGATGTGTATTGCTCTGCATCACATCGGCAATATACATAGACTGCGTCACCTGGTAGCCGGTGCTCCACTCGCGGAGACAAGAGGAGGGGCCGGGACCTTGGGGTCGTGTCCGCGCTCAGGAAGGCGTCCATTGTCCTATTACACCTGCGCTGCGCTACGCCGACCGTCCCCAGCGGTGGCGCGCAGCCTCACCCGCCACGCCGAACTCCTCGCGGGGCACCACAGACGGCATATACAGCGCTGCGCGCAGCGGCGACGCATTCTCGTAAGCCTTCCAAGTGAATTCGACTTCGGGCGCGGTTTGGTGAGCTGCCGCAGGCCTGATGGCGGCATGAGGCGCTCGAGCGGCGACAGGCCATGGGCTGTATTGGGGACCCGATGAGAGTGGTCGTGTCGGGAGATGATAAGCGAGTGGGCGCGTGGTCTCGTCAAGCTCGGCCTGCAGACAGTGCATAATTGCTCGGCAGCAGCTCCTATAACATGCACTAGAGCCACTCGGCACCGACAATCCTGCGCTCAGTACTCTCAGTCGAGCGCCGGAGGCATTGCAGGTAGAACTTGCATGTAGCCCACTGTGCTGGCTGATGATGTCCCGATCAAAGGATGCAATGTTTCTGTGGTCCTTCGCACGCAGCCATCCTCGCCACGAGCAGGTACGCCAGATGAGCGGTGTCTCGTACGTTTTGCTGATACAGAGTTCACTTGAGTGGCGATAATCGAGTACTGAGGGCCGCTGTCCTCCACATAGCCCTGAGCAGTCAAGGTCGAGGCCAAGAAGCACGGGTGGGTCAGCGTAATAAACGGCGCTGCCTGCTTGTCACTGCACGGCTTGTACAGGCAGGGGCCAACGGACTAAAACTACAATGAGTGACACGTCGAGACAAGACAGGGTGAGCACGCGCCTCGGTCATGGCGCTGTCTGAATTCCACGTCTCACTCGACCTTGGTTTCAGCATGTTGCAGGCAGCCTTTCAGGCCCGGCTCGAGGCAGCGCTCCTCTAGAGCAGAGAAGCCTACGTGAGATCCTCCGTCTTGATACAGAAAGGCATACAACGCACCATGCTGCTGCTCTTTCGTAAGTGATGAACTACAACGCTCGAAGGACTTGGATGCCCATGATCTAATCATCAAGCGAGCCCGAGGGGGTGCCAGAGGTAGTGCAGGCGACGATGTCGACTACGAGATGACGGAAGAGATCGAGAATGTCAGCCGAGGACAGACGGGCTGAAAGAACCTACGATAGCCATAAGTGTGCTATTATAACGAACATCATCTGGCGTGTACTCACGTTAGCAAACTTAAGGGCAACTTAGGTCGTGCAGCTCTGGCCGGAGGAGGGCGATTTTGGCAGGCGTGAAGAGCGGCGCGTAGCCCTTCTTGGGTGTTGCATGCTCGGCGAAGCCGCGTGGGGGAGGACCGTCTTCGCAACTTGAAGTTCGTTGTAATCTCTGCATACCCGTCAGTGTACACCTATGTCTGAGAAACAGCGCTGTACGGCAGAGGTGAGGTAGCCGTGGTGTGCTCGTGAACGTACGGCAGAGACTATGCATCGTACCGGCGGCCTGGAGTCTCGGTGCGGCGTCGTCAGTCAGCTCGCCTGCCAAATGTGGCAGCCATGTTCTCTGTAATATTGCGAGAGTCTTCCGTGGGCCCAATGGGTCTTGAACAAAGCCCAAGGCCTAAAGCGCATCTCGAACAAATCGCCGAGCTGGCCTTGTGGCGTCCGGCCGCCGGGACTCGGCGATGCTTTTAGTCCGAGCAGACCGGCCCCGACTTGGCTCTGCTCTGCTCCTCGACGTCCACCATGGCTTCGCACTTGGGTCACACCGGCATAGACCCGCCTTGTACATTCGACGACCCCCAAGAAGACGAGGAGAACGCCGACACGCTTGGCCGGCGCGACACGAGCACAATGGGCACAGCAAGCGCGCCAGAGGGCTTCGCGATGCCCGCGCAGTCTGCTGCGAATGCCAATTCCTGCTACGGCCAGCGCAGCTCGGAGAAGACACCGCATGGCAGCAGGATCAGTTCTCGCTTCCCGCGGTCGTGCGTCGCACCACACCGGTGACGACGAAGTCGAACGGCACCGGCGAGGGCGAGACCAAGCGCCGGTCGCTCTCGCTCGAGAGCCGCAAGACGAACGGCATAGAGTCCGCGCGGAGTATCGCTTCACGACTGCTAGTATCACTTTGGCCTCAGCTATAGTCGTCCGCCAGTAGGCTTTGCTGTCTGACGACTCGGACTTGGCCAGCGTCCATTATTTCGCGACTTTGATATTTGCACCGCGATGATCACCATAGATGAGGCGGGCCAACGCCGCGGCATTCGCGTAGTATCACTTGTATGTATGCGTATATTTAAAATATATTTGCTTCCGAGACAACATATCCCCGTGCTACCGGAACTATGGTCCATCTATGCACGAAGGCGTACAGTATCCCGAATACACTATTACGTGCGATTATCGCGCAAGCTGTCTAGGTACTTATTCAATCCTGAGAAATTCAGCTTATACCCGCTCCTGAATACCACATCGTGCCCACAATATCCCGCAAAGCCCCCGCGATGCCAGTCTAGCGGAACCCAACACAACCGCCGGCGAGACGGCGTCAAAGAGAATATCCAGTCATCCTCGATGTAGTATATAGGCCAGGTGCGGCGCGGAAGCCATGGGAGCGGGGTCGTCACCTGCGCGTCGGCATCTACAGGCGCCCACAACTGGACAAGTCGTTTACCGTCATCGACTAGGACTCCGGAGCCGTCGGGGGAGAGGTGCAGGGTGCGGTACCAGGTACGTGGGCCGAGGACGAGGAGGCACGCGCCTGATTCGGCGTCCCAGAGTCGCATAGTGTCGCGCCACTCGGAGGAAACAATGACGTCCCCAGCGGGAGCAAAGGCGACCGACGACACTGCGCCGGCGTGTCCCTCCAGCTCCCGGAGCAGTTCCCCTCCCTCTGCACTCCACACCAGAATGAGACCGTTGAAGCATCCGGATGCAACACGTTCTCCACTGGGAGAGAGGGCGACGGAGTAAACCGAGCTCTCATGGCCCCCACATGTCGCCAGGGATGCTCCGGTGGCAACATCCCAAATGATGACAGCCTTATCCTTGGAGCCTGTTGCAATACGTCTGCCGTCCAGTGAGAATGCGACGGAGCGGACATGATCCGTATGTCCGACAAATTTGTGAATGAGCTTGCCTGTTGCAATGTCCCAGAGACAAACGGAATGATCATCTCCGGCTCCGGATAAATTCAGCATGAGCAGGTAGCGACTGTCTTGCGAGAACATCAGCGACGACGACTGGCCGCCGAAGCAGTGAGGGATGTAGCCCAAGACGCCGCTCCACAGAAAGGTGCCCTCGAGAGAGGGGGACCGGTGCGCAACGTCAGAGCTCAGCTCGCCCTCAAGCTGGAGACGCAGCGTCCCGGAAGCAGTGTCCCAGAGAGCCACCACGCCACGATGTCCCGACGATGCGGTAAGGATCGTTGCACCGTCCGGTGAGAACGCTGCGTAGTGCCTGTCGTATACCCGTTCTAATGAGGGTACAGGCAGCGGCTTGTATGCGCGATCCCACGAATCCGTCTTCGCTACCTCGATACTAGTACTGGAGCTGTCGCTGGAAACTAGCAGTGCACGCGTCGTGCTGTGAGAGAAAGCGACTGAAAAGTAGCTAGTTAATTTCTCGCTGGACGGATTGGATGGGTTGCTGATGTCCTCGGGTCGTGGCTTGATCGCCGCAGGTCGCGTCATGTCCCACAGCCGGACAGTGCCATCGTCCGAGCCAGACGCGATGCGAGTCCCGTCTTCGCTATAAGCAACACTCGTGACACATTTGGTGTGATTGGAGAACGCCTGTCGAACCTCGCCGCGAACAAAGTCCCAGACGAGGACATTATTATCTGCGGCACAGGCGAGCACGTCTCCTGTTGAAGGAAAGCTGGGACTGCAGATCGAGTAGAATGATCGGCCTGATGGCCGGAGGTCACGGAGGTGCATCGCAGTCTCGACATCCCAGACTGACAGCTTCCCCAACTCAGGGCTTCTGGTATACGATGCGATCAAAATCTGGGAGCTGTCTGGTGTGAAGGAAACAGCATGATCAGGAAAGTATTCGCCTTCGGGAGTCTCCACAACACGATGAGTGTATGCCGGCACCTCCAGGCTCCACAGAATGACTTGGTCCAACGAGCTCGACGCCATCCAACGGCCGTCCCGAGACACCGCAATGGATGAAACATATCTATTGTGTGCGGCCAGGGTTTCCAAACAGACACCTGTGTCCACGTCCCAGATCTTGAGGGAACAATCCCTGGAGCCAGACACGATACGGCCGCCGTCAGGTGTGAAGACTGCGCAGTTGACCCAGCCCGTATGCCCTTCCAGGGTGCGGATGAGCACACCGGACACTGCGTCCCAAATCTTGACCGTTTTGTCCTCGGCAGCAGAAGCTATGCGAGCGCCGTCCGGAGAGTACTTGACAGAGAAAACATCGCGAGAATGACCGGAGGGGACTGATAGCAGGGCGCGCGTCAGCGCGTCCCAAACGCGTATCTTGCGGCCACACCCTGATGAGGCAATCATCCTGCCGTCGGGTGAGAAGTCGACCGAAATAACCCCACGAGCGGTGACCGTGCCCAAGCAGGCGCTCCACATGCCTGGGACATCGCCAAAGACCTTGACGGAGATCTCGGAGAAGCATTCGTGCGCATACGTCTGTGCAAGCGCGGTCTTTGTCGGGATGAATGATAGGAGCGAATAGTACAGGTGTAGCGCTGAGCCGCTGATCGCAGGAAAGTAGCCGACAACCAGGCGTTCGCAGTCATTCAACAGAATGACAATGTCCCTCGCTCGGTCATCGTTAAAACCCTGTCCAGGATCTTAGATGGGTGAGCTATACTAGAGAGCAAGGTGCACTCACCCTGAGCTTCTGCTGGACCTCGTTGATGCCTGAGATGACGTCCCTCAACAATCCAAGAAGGCTGCAGGCCTCAACCCAGTGTAGCAGCTGCCTTTGTACAAATTAAAGAAGCATGTCCAGGATCTCGTCCAACAGCTCGCCGTTGAGTAGACGAGTGCACCAATGCCGACATGCATACCGCAGGTGTGCCGGGATCGCGCTCTCCATCCGGCCCAGCAGGCCGAGAACCTCAGCGTTGAGCAGCGATGGGTCCCGGATGTCGCAAATGTCTCGCTTCAGCTCCTTCAGCGCATCGAGACACTTGCGTAGCAGGAGCGTGTTCTGCCGCCGCGAGTTGATGGTGAATGCACGGTTTGTGCAGCGGCTCGGGTCGAGCAGGAACTCGGGGAAGGTCGGGTGGATGATACGGATATTTCCCCTAGACTCTTGATTATCCGGTACGACGAGGACAGAGTGAAGACCGACGAGGGAGCTGCACACGGTGTCAGTGGAAAGACCGAGTAGTCGCGAGAGGGCGGATGGGGAAAGAGGATCCCTGATGACGGCGACCGAGCCAAGGATCGTCTGGAGTCGTTCTGACAGACTCGCCGACATGTTGGCGAGGGTCTTTTCGAGCACTTGTAAGTATAGCTGGTCAAGCAGCTGATGGGAGCCGTGTGAGTTTGCGGCGGACGTGAGCATTTTTAGCTGTCCAATTGGGTCACTGTAGTGACGGTCCCTAATGAACTTGACGGCGGTCGCGGCAAAGATGAACAGGCCGCAGGCTATCTTGCTGAGTGTCTCGATATCGGCATCGCTGGGCCAGTGCTCCGACAGACAAAAGTACCGCCTGGCCTCTGACAGGGACACGGTAAGATACCGCTTGATGTCTGCGGTGGTGACGGGCTGCAATTCGATCGCGTGTAGGAGGAGCTTGCCGAATGAATCGCGGTAGTTAGGATCGTCAAATGTGGCGACAATGTCCCGCTCAGGTCGGCTGGTGACGAAGAATAGCAGTGGCGAGAGGCTCTCTGCATGCTTCAGCAGGGTAGATAAAATCGTGGAGGTGACTTGAGGCTGTTGACACTCGTCGAGTGCATCGATCACCACGACACATGGAGGGAAAGCGTCACGGAGGAGCGTCAGTGGCTGTAGTATGAGCTCTTCGAATTGACGCGACACCTGAGAGTCTACGAGATCGGGATCCTTCCTGAGTATCTCTGTGGTTCGGTCCTTGTAAGGTTCGTAGAACAGTCCGAGGCGGTAGGCGATGGTGGTGACAATCATCGAAGCATTACTGCAATCGGCATCGGATCGAGAGCAGAAGAAGCTTGCGCCTAACATACGGCGAGCATGAAGTTGCTTTGCGATGGTGCACGAGATCGTTGTCTTGCCCGTGCCAGGCAGGCCGTTGAGCCAGAGGATACTGGACTGGAGCCAGGCGGAGCTTTCGGCGGGTTTGGCTGCGTCGCCAGGCGGATGTCGATTGGCTGCCCAGGTGAAGATAGTATCCAGGATATCAGTACGTGTCCCGTCGAGACAAGTCCTGCGCTCCGATTGACTGTCGAATTGCGCCCGGGCTGCATGTGGTGGCACAATGCTGCCTGGATGAAAGCAGTCAGGGCAATGACACTGAAGCAGTACCAACCTTGGGCGTACCTTCTGAACGAGTCAGCAAGCGCTGAAGGAGATTAGACATTAGATCGTAATTCGTACACCCGCTGAGAGATCCTCACCTGAGTATCATCTCGGATAGCGTCTATCTTCACCTCTACTCTTTGCGAGTCCTGCTTGGAGATATGTGCGTGATGCTTTTTGTCCAAAATTAACGTCCGAATCGTGGGCTGAGACATGCCTGCTACGTACATTCAGAGCAGACTCAATCGCAATTGTACTCCCGATCTGTCATTCAGGGCAGCTTGTCAGCTGGAGGAACGTACGGATACAAGACGCCACATACCATGAAACTCTGGATTGACCACGACATCTTTTGCACCAGACCCGTAACTTTCTCCGCTTCCCCGTCACTTCCCAGTATCCTCCGAAAATTTCCCCGGGACTTGAGACCTTGAGCCTCGTCATTGATTGTTTTCCACGCCCTATGCGACATCAGCATATGGAGCCTGTGCCATCAGCGGCAGACTCACTCCAACAGTAGATTAATTCTGGCCTGCATGGGAGCAGGGATATTCTCGCCGTGCAGATCCTCACTCTCTTGCACCATCTTCGTCAGATCTCCGACCCTCGTAGCCAGCTCCTTGATACTTTCTGTGTTTGCGTGCGATTTCTAGTTTTGATTTAAGAGACAATACTGAGAGGGCGGCACACGCGCATACCTGGACCATCCCTAGTACAGTAGACAGGACGCTCACACCTATCTGCAATCCCGGCACTCCAAGATTGCCGGCGACGTCCTTGAATATGTCGAGAGCTTGCTGCAAGTGACCTATGGCGGCATCGGGGACCTTGCTGCTCTGTAGCTTCTGTTTCAGACGGCGCATGGCTGCTAGCTGCTGACGGAGTGGTTCAAGCAAAGACTCGCATCACAGCCACGCGTGCCTCGCGCCCACAGCCCGCGAAGAACACAGTCACGGGTCAGAGAAGGCGGAGAAGGCGTGTTCGGCGGACGCCGATTGGCTACCGCGACAGGCGCTGAGCACGAGCATGTCTGCATTTCGGGTAGTTGCAGGTCATTGAGGGCGTGAATGGCGGACCAAGTCGCTGTTACGTGACGTTAATGCAAATATCGACGATAGACAAAAGAAAAATTACAAGCGTCGCTTTGTACGCGAGCTCGAACGAGGAATCGCCGTCGTTGGGATAATGAGAATTGTGCGAGCTGCACTTCATGCCTAGGGCCTGCCGACTAAAGGAGGATATACAGTGTGATAGGATGGTTAATATGGCCGCTAGTTCATTCTCGAACGAATCTCGAATCAAGCTGCCAGAACATTTCGAGGCGAGCAAACGCTTGGATGGCCTCTGCTTCACCATGAGCGAACACTGGTGCAAGAGATAGAAAACACAAAGCTTACCTGGCTCAGGAAATATCTGGACACTTCAGGTGTACAGGTGTTCTGAAGCTTGAATGCATGGTTTCGCTGAAGCAGAGAATGATAATTGCCAGGTAGCGGACATGCTGCGCCGGTAAGCGCCGTAGTGCCGGGACCTCCTTACCACTTCATTATCCGGTCCTGAAGTTGAACGTTGGCAGAAAAAAAAAAATGGAAAATCTTGGTGTCTGGGTAGTGAAACCTGTGCAGAATATTCTCCATCAGACCACAGAATATAAATATAGCAAACCAAAACGGATATCGCTATGCTATCACTGGCCCTTGGCACCATAAGGTAGGACATAGGCTGTAGTCAAAGTCACAAGTTGAAGCACTGTCCGTCTTGAGCCGCCACTATCGCATATGACCGTTATATCAGCTACTATTCCATCATATGCAGCTTCAACGTCGCTGAACAACTGTACGGTGGTATCAGCTCCGCGCACAGCACACGGGTGATCCCGAACGTACGCCATTACCAGCGAGCACTCAAGCTCGTTCATCTACCAGCATGTTCGCTGTCTGCGCAGATAGTTCTGTTCGCGTGTAAACACCAAGCCTCTACCCATCGTGGTGAGCTCCCAGGCGTCCGCTCTGCGAGACGCGGGCCTTCAAGTCTCCGGACCGCTACCGTCCGCTGTTCAGATTGATGCGCGTGCTCCTGTTCGACCCCCTCGACAGCCCGCTCGATCGTCAGCTGGCACTGGCACCGGTATACCTCCTTGTCCTTTGACTGCGCTTGCAAAGCCGAGGAACTCGGGATGTAACCGGTTGCGCGAAGACGGCGCGCCAGGCGTACGGGCCCAGCATGATATTTATTTGATGAAGTCGCTCCGCTGGGCGTGCAGCGCGGGCAGATCGTCCAGGGAGCGCGTACGGCTCGACGCAAATCGGGAGTGGTGGGGAGGCTGTACGCGGTGCGGTCAGCGGCGAAAAAGCCGAGGAGCCGGTCGACCACGAGGGCAGCATGCGCGAGCCATCTCCAGCCAGAGCACCGTCCGGCATCTGTGGGAGCGGTGGCCAAACGAGAGGATTTAGCGACGCATGTCGAGAATCCCAGCGGCATGTTAGCGGCTGTACAACGCACGTATGCACTGATTGAACTGACAGGATGTGGGCGGATGCTTTGGAGACACTGTTCACTCTTGGGTAATAGGCCATTGGTGCGCTCGATATAGTCGAGTTCTGCAGCCGCCGCGCCGTACGCAGGTCCGAGGCGAGGTGCGCAGGTGCGAAGCCGTAGTCCAACGGAGCGTGCAATGGGCGCGAGCTTGAGCTTGCGCCAGGGATAGCATGCCTGCTGGACCTATCTGCCGCGCTAGTTATGCACATCGAAACGTCCTCCCAGCAGTGCACTGCAGGCTCGCCTGCACAGCCTTCGTCTTCGTTCTCGGCGACCGGGGCGCGCTTGTAGTCCAGCTAGCGTACGCAATCCTGCGGTTCGTCAGTGAATGGATGAGAGCGCACAGGCGGACGCAGGTGAGACGCACCAAAGCAGAACGTTCATCCCGGTAAAACTTGAGCCAGCTCTGCCGGTGGCACACCCATGACATTCGTCGCGCGCTCTGGGTTCCGTTCCTCGAGCCCTTGACCTGCCCTCTTGCGTTGCCGTCTCATGGTCATAGGACGGTGCTAATAGCCCGCGCGATTTCCCGTCGGACCTCGCACGGATCCATAGCTTGTTAGACGAGGATGTTTATGTGAAGATTGACAATTGGATCTTCGACAATGACGAGCGTTGCTCGGACAGACCGCAGAGGGAGGAGTGCTCCAGGCTAAGGTCCTGGGCGGTCGTCTTCGAAAACTCCCGCGGCTCGGAAGACGTCGTGACAACAGTGCCTGCCGGAAGCGCGTGGCTCATTGTGTTGAGCCCCCTGTGGTGCGCGGTATACAGGAATGGTGACGCTGCGCGTACAAGCGACGCGTTCTGCGAGCCCAGCGGCAAATGTAGTTTCGAGGTGGGTTTCACCGGCTAAGACGGGCGCGACGGCGGCGAAGGCGACGACGAGAGTATGACGCGCTCAAGCAACGACGGCACGGCGACATACAGGTGGAGGGCTGTTAGCTAGATCAGCGTTGCGCCCATGGTATCAGAGTGAGCACGCATACATACATACGCTCTTTAATAGAACGTTCGAGTCTTCGCTCTTTTGGAAATTTCCACCTCGGAAACGACGCGCGGTTTCGGGTATAATATGGCCTCGTCGACACAGGCCTCAGAGAGTCGCTGCATGGCGCCTCGGCGGCGGATGAGCACCCAGAACACACACGAGAGTGGCGTTGGCAGAGCATTGATATCAGTCATCCTGCGCAGGGCCACGTCTGCGTCAGCACCGACTCCAGGACACTGCGTTAGGCAGCACCTACAAGCGACCCATGGTCTCCTTAAAATTGCCCCAACGGCGTCGGGGCCCAGAACAGGGTAGCGCCAACAGCGCGAAAACCCTAACCCCTGGACACTCTCCGAGCGCCCGCAGCACCTCTTCGCCTGTATCCGCCACGAGTACTCTACAACAATTCGCTGAACCCACACTTTCATCGACATGTCATGACTCTGAAACGCATCCAACTCCTTGTCTAAGCCTCACTTAAGGCCTTCTCCTTTACTTGAGCCATGAACGCTCCGACAATGCGACTGACCCTCGCGCTCTTCAAGTCACCGTCTATCCGGCTGTGATCATAATGTGCGTATTTGCACCTCTCCAGGGGCCCTTCTGTTGACTCTTTGGCTTTGGAGCTTATCGCCGTGTTGCAGCAGTCGGACGAACTCGTCATAGTTCACTTAGGGGCACGAGCTGGGAGGAAAGATCGTTGGCTGGAAATACATCATGAGACTGGGACGCGGGTGCGCACTCTTACTCACTCTTTGCTAACTACCGTCTGAGAGCCCGTGAAGGATATCCAGATGCGAGGCCTCGCTGCATGTTACGACGTTACGCAATACGTGCTCGAGGACACAGCGACGCGAGCAGCTCACGAAGACCGCCTACGCCCGTGCGTGTTCTGGACTTTCACGCACCTTCCGAGCATGCTTTTCAACACTGAATCTCAAGACACTTCGCGCATGTGCAATACTCTATACGCCTCGGCCAGAACGACGAGCGAGGCAGTCAAGACAGACGTCTCGAGATCGATGATGGCTGTCGGTGAAGCAACTGAAGACGTAGCGCAAGTGTGCGACCAGGACATCGCTGCTTTTACCACCCATTCGATTGCGTATCAGGAAGACTGGTCGGCGCCGAGTCCCGCATCTCACTTTGCCCCATCCAAGAAAGGACTACGGCAGGCGCAGGAAGGCGTATGGTTCGAACATTAGATCGACGCTCGGGGGCGAGAATATCTCATGTGTTACCGCGCGCGATGTAAATGCATCTCCGCATCGTCGAGCAGCACCACGGAGTGGCGCATCGCGAGAGTTTTTCGCAGCCGGAGCCGGAGTATTGCAGAGAGGCGTGCCAGAAACTGGTGCGTATACTTGACTTTCGAGACCACTCCGCGTCTCACACAGGCACCAGGACAGATCCAGGCGCAGGGATATCCGTCGCAAGAATTGAACGAAGAAGAGCTCTCTGCGCTCGCGTCGCGTGATCATACCAACAACCGGATCCCTGTCCTGCTCTCGCTCGAACCTCTCGGAAGTGATCACTAACCTGCGCTTGGTCCCGAAGGCTGCACCAGCCGGGTCAAGATCAGGTTAGGCCAGGCCAGCGCATGTATCTATCGCATTTGTATTCATCACCTTCGTCGATACCAACGCTCAGCACGCCAAGTCAAACAGACCCACAAGGCACCGCACGCGCTTCCGAACCGGGGCGGTAACGACGGTTTCGGTAGTTGGGCTTTGAGTCGAGCATTTGATCATGTCAGGGCGCCGTCGAGCGACGAGAGCCTGCTGCAGCGGTGCCAGGTTCGTTCTTGTTGTCAGAGTCTCGTTCACAGCCAATGTTTCGGCGGTACCAAACCTCCGTTTCTCGTTTTACCTTGTCTGTAACTCAGCGAGTCCCGCAATGCCAAGTTTTCGCCACCTTATCTTGTCGCGGCGCTGTGCGCTGTCCTGCCAAATGAGCATTGACGGACGCAGCTGAGCTACCGTCTATTTCGGCGTTGAATGTGCGCAGATTGGGCCTTGCTGAGATGCTGGATCGCGCTCTGGTTCATGATGTTCGCCGCTGTGGTTTTGCGGTGCGGATGGTGTGGTGCGAGTCGTCAGCGAAGGGAGCCGCACGGACGAGGTCCGGTCCCTGCTGGTGCCTATACGTGTCATGGAGATGCTGACTCGATGTATATACCAGTCTAATAGTACTCGCTATCGTTGCGCCCCATCCCTCAGATGAATACCTGCAAGAGCTGCGCAGCGAGAATAGGTCGGAGGGCGATGTATCGCCGTTGTAACTGGGCGGGATGATCTTGTGTAGAGTGGATTAAATGCTTTCTCTGCCGCCTATTCAGCGGTGTCTGACCTTTGTGCGATCTGTATAGAATTCATGAGCAGAGTCAGCTCTCTGCCCCCAGCAGATTTGCTCGTATTCCATACTAAAGCACATCCCGAGCATCCTACGTCTTAGCACTCCCGAGTCGTTCAAAGCGGTAGCTATGGGCACTGCCCTGCTTAGCGCATTCAATCATGCATTTGCGGACTCGTTCTCAATCTTTGTAGCATGATGTACACGCTCAAGTAAGTTCCCATCCAGGCTTAGCTCATATATCTTCGTCTCAAACATTTGGTGCAATGGGATGTGTATTGCTCTGTATCACATCAGCGATATACATGGACTGCGTCATCTAGTGGCCGATGCTCAAATCGCGGAGACCAGAGGAGCGGTCGGGACCTTAGGATCGTGTCCGCGCTCGGGAAGGCATCGTTTGGCCCGGTGCATGCCCTGCACCTGTGCCGCACCGACCATCCTCAGCGGCAGCGTGCAACCCGTCGTCTTGAACTCTTCGTGGGGCGCCGCAGACGGGATAAACAACGATGACGCATTTTTGTAAGCTTCCCAAGTGAGTTCGACTTCGGGTGCGGTTTCGTCAGCTGCAGCAGGCCTGACGGCGGTATGAGGCGCTCGAGCGGCGACGTACCATGGGCCGTATTGGCACGAGAGAAATCTGCTACTTTTTTGTCGCATAAAATATGCATAAACAGCTTCAAAAAATAATTAAGAAATTGTTGTATTTTTGGTTACCAGACAGACTGTATTTTCTCCACGAAAATTGGCCATAAAAATTCACCCTGCTCTTAGAACTTGTATGCTACTCAGTTGGTCAAATCTTTTCTCCGAAAAATCTCTGGCTGTTTTTGCGCATTTTTTCTCCTACAGTAGCTCGCCTTTCTGTGTCTAGAGAACATCTCTTGCTTCTGAACATTTTCTTAAAATTTAGTTCCACGAAAAGCTTGGACTTTTTCTCTTGAAACCACTGTGGAGAAAAGTCGGGATGTTTTCAGTGAGGAAAGCTCATCGCCCACCGCGCCCGCTGCCCGCCCACTGCCCGCCCACTGTGCGCCCACTGTGCGCCTGCTGCCCCGCCCACTGCCCACCCACTGCCCA